TAAGCAAGAACTCCACAACTAAACTTAATCCCTCAGCACTCTTTAATTTTTGTTGTGTTTTGTTTTTCGAGACAGGGTTTCCTTATATCCTGTGCTAGAACTCACTCTGCAGCCCAGGCTATCCTCGAACTCACAGAGATGCACCTGCTTCTGCCTCCCAAGTGCAGCGGATAAACGTGTACACCACACCACTTGGCTACTTTTGATTTTAAGGCAGGATTTCTCTCTCTGAACTCATAGTGGGGCCCAGACTGCCCTTGAACTTGTGATCCTCCAGCTTGGGTCTCTTTCTATCACAGGCTTACCTAACCAGGTCTGGCTCTGACACAGATAGTCTGTGAGATTAGTTATACTCAGCTGTGGATGGCAAGTGACCCTGAGCTAGACATCTATTGTGGCTAATTCAGTCTAATTAGGTGAAGGGATGTCCAGTTAGCTGGTCATATATTATTTTGGGGTTTGTCTCTGAAGGTGTACCCAGATAGAGTAGCATTTCCCACTGCAGATTAAGAGGATTCCCCAGTGTGAGCTTTAAATACATTTTATTATAGTCTGTTATTCTTATCTATTTTATTGTTAGGAGCTGTCTTTAATCACACACGGTGCTCCATTTATAGATAATATTTTTATCATAGGTGTGTATTTGGGGTATGGTGCTCACTAATTCAGGCCTCCTTTGGGGACTTGGAATGTACCCGCTAGACACTGTATTGAACAATGAAGGGAGAGGCTCTGCATTCTTATGCCTCCTTAACAAATTTCAGGGGCATTTGATAGTATTTTCTCCTGCGTAGTGAGCCCCCACCTGCCCTGCATAGTTCAAGATCCTGGACAACTCTGGACCTCAACTCCCTCCTCTAAGAACAGTAGAGGGCGACCGTGAGGACACCGTTTCGATTTTAAGAATGCTGAGTTGTAGAAGCGTCCTCAGAGTAGATTATTATTCTAGGGTTGGGGACAGAGAACGGTGACCGCAGACAGCAGGCCAATATCGTGAGCCTCAGGTAGCTATGGAGTAGAGGTCACTTGGCTGCTCCTGGAGAAACCTGTTCTTCGGGGACCCTCGGGGGGCTATGCTTCAGGACCGGGAAAAGACAGAGGCTGCGTGCTCCCAGTGCAGCAGCATCGCGTGGGGACAGACAGCTCTGAACTGTCATTTCCAGAGCCGCCTCCTTGAACATAAACGACCCGCTGCGGCGGATAGTACAGCATCCTTACTAGCTAGCATAGCACCTCCTAGAGATACGGCAGTCTCACAGGGGCCGTTAGTAGGTCGCTTCCTCCTGCGCTGCTGCAGGGCCCTGACCATTTGGGAAATGCAGTTTGGTAGGAGCCCCCCCCCCCCCCCCCCCGCCGCTCTAGGAGAGGCGTGGTACTTAGTAATGTGGCCTGGCTGTTTGTGTTTCTGGCGTTTGGGGAAAGGCTGCTCCTAATTAAAGGCGTAAATGCTTTAATCCCTGGCCTAGGGGCTTCCCATGGCGCATTAGCTCTGTTAGGAAGGAAGTGGATTGTAATCCCTTTAATAGAAGCCTAGGGGAACTGGGGCTTCTGAGTTGGGAGAATTCCCTCCTGTGATCCAACAATATTAACAGGCTGAATTTGCATAGATAGAAATGTGGGGGCCTGGCTCTCCCTTCGGGCTGAGTGGGGTTGAAACGTGATTCACACTAAGAAGGGCTTTTTGGGGGGGGGCATTCTGCAGCAATAATTAAACTCCTGCAGCATACTGGACCCGGAGTGAAGTAGCTAAATGCACATCACCTCCTTTGCTTTTGACAGTCAAACGCGTAAGTGTGTGTTTGGACAAGTGTTTAATCAATGTGGAGGCGCTTGTTGTCACTGGAGGAAAGAGGGGAGGACTGAAGAACAAATGATGTTCCTGAGACCCTTGGTTGTTCCCACCATCCTGTCCATGCAGCTTCCGTTGTCCCCATTCCCTATACCAGCCCCTATTTTGCAACTTTTTAAAAAATCGTTTAATTTGGCACAACCATGCTTCTACGGTTCTATTGTTTACTAATGTTTTTCTTTATTTAATATGTCTTACCCTACACTACACATAACTCTGGGTGGAGGAGGTGCACACCTTTAATCTCAGCACATGGAAGACAGAGGCAGGTGGATGTCTGTGAGTTCGAGGCCAGCCTGGTCTACAGCAGGAATTCCAGGATAGCCAGGGCTACAAAGAAGAAGAAAGCTATATAACGATGGGGACTGTGGGAAGAGAGAGAGGTGAGCACTGTGGAGATGACTCAGTTAGTTGATACACTGTTTACCACACTAGCACGAGGTCCTGAGTTCAGATTCCCCCACACCCACATAACCCCCACCCCACATGGTGGAACACATCTGTGCACTCCATGCTATGGAGGCAGAGAGAGGTGGATCCCTCCAGCTCACTGGCCAACTAGCCTGCCCAAGTTAGGTGAAACCTTATCTCAAAAGCTAAGGTGGGAAGTGATGTTGACCTCTAGCTTTCTACATGCATACAAGCATGCTTGTGCAGACACACACACACACACACACACACACACACACAGAGAGAGAGAGAGAGAGAGAGAGAGAGAACACACACACAAAGAGAGAGAGAGACAATACACAAAGGAGCATGTTCATTGCACTGTAAAAAGTTAAATGTGGTGCAATGTGATGGTTTGTGTTGTAGTCTGTGGTGGGGAACACTGTGAACCACACAGGATTTCAGTCTCCAGTAAAGGATTCTGGAGTGGGGTACCGCCAGGCTTCACTCCCAAGTGCCAAATAAATAGATTTACATCCTGTCCCTGTGCACTTGGCAATCTCATTTGTCTTCTTGTGGCTAGTTTTTGAACTTAGCATAGTGTTTTCAAGCTTCTTCCTCTGTGTAGCAGGGGTTAGAACTTTCTGAATAATTTTGCACAGTATGCCTACACCACATTTGGGTGACCCCTTCAGCTGCTGGTGGCCTTTTAGGCATCATGAATTCTGCTGCTATGAGCAGTGGCATCTAGTGTCTCTGAGTCTCTGTTTTGATTTATGACTAAATGTGAAATTTCCAAATCACATGTTCCCTCTCCCTGTGTTTTTTTTAAACAATTATTTATTCATATTTGTATGTGCTTGTGGTGGTCAGTGGGTGCCTTTCAGGAGTTGGCTCTCTTTCCATCATGCAAATCCCAGGTTCAAACACAGGTGGCACCACTTGCTACAAGACCCCCCCCCCCCTCCCAGCCATCTTGTGTGCCCCTGTGGTTAACTTTTGAGAAACTTCCAACCTGTTTTCACTGGATGCACCATTTTACGTTACCACCAACAGTATATGAGAGTTTTACTCTCTGAATCCTCAGCAACACCTGCTACTTTCTGCTCTGGGTTGTTTATTTGTAAATACCAGTAAAAGAGAGTAAGATTTTGACAAACTGGTGAGCCAGGCTCTCAGGCAATAGAAACCTGTAGGGGCATGGATTTAGCTAAACTGATGTCATCAACGAGCTACCTCTCCTGGCAGTGGCCTAACCTATAGAGTTCTGAAAAGCATCTCCTCTCCAGTACCATCCAATCAGGGTTATTCTGACCTAGTTGGTTCACACAGTTGGTTCACACGTACTGAGACTCCAGGAGGGGTAAGCCAGGGGCAGGGGAACTAACATCCAGGAGGGGTGACTAGCTATCCACATCACAATGACCAGGGCCGATGACCAAAACTGTTTCAATTGTGTAGGTCAGGGCTGATCTCAGAGGCGGGTTTGTCAGCGAGACCGTGCCAACAGGACTCTCAGACAGCGGGGACACCTGGGGTTGGAAGGGCAGGAACATTGCAAGTCTTGTCAAAAGAAAAGGTAGGCTTTGAACTAAAGAGGACCCTGGCCCAGGTCAGGAGCTGTCTCTATTCAGGAAGGAGGACACGTGTTGTATTAGCTGAGGTCTGGCAAGTACCAAGGCATGGGCCTTGGGCAGAGAAGCTCCTACGAGTGAAACTCCCTCGTGGTTGCTAGGGATGTAGCTCAGTTGGTGGGGTGCTTAGCTAGTATGCCTGAAGCTCTGAGTTCAATTCCTAGTACCGCATAAACCAGACATGCTGGAGCACACTTGCTTTTTGTTTTTTCCCCTTGGCTGGGGGTTGGCGGTGGGGTAGAGATTTTGAGACTTTGAGATAAGGTCTCTATGCAGCCCCAGCTGGCCTACAACCCACTGTGTAGGCCAGACTAGCCTTGTAGGCACAGAGATCCACCTGCCTCTGCCTCCTGTGTGCTGGGACTAAAGGTGTGCAGTGTAGACTTGTGACATAGGAAGATTGGACGTCGGAGGTAATTCTCAGCTACACAGAGGTTTGAGGCCAGCCTGGCCTACATGAAACTCAGAAAGGTGAAATACAGACAGACAGGCAGGCAGGCAGACACAGAGACAGAGAGACCCACAATATGGCTTCCTTGAAAACTTCAGGGCTGACATGAGGGACAGAGTTGAGCCATCATGTCTGGGAATGCCCCACAACTTTCTTTACCTTGGACATCCTGCTTCTGTGAGTGCTGGAGCCTCAGTCCTGGGTGCCAGCTTTGAGCAGGATGAGCCCTGGGTCACACTGGCTGGGGAGACTGTGCTCACATCTCAACTCAGCATCAGAGATGTGTTAGAAGCTCAAAATGGTCATGCTGGGGGATTTCCATCACAGGGATAGGCCGATACTGTGAAGTCGCTGCTTCTGTTCCTTCAAACTTTGGTTGTTTAATGTGCACCTTTTTTGATGCACCTTTTGGAGAGGCGGAGCTGATGTCTTGAGTGAATTCTAATTCCTAGGAATCTTGCTTATAGTTCCTTTGTCACAGGACCCTACACACCCATCCCCAGTGTCCTCTACTGGCTCCAGGGACTACGCAAGATAGAATCTTAGGGAAAGTGGAGAGGGATGAACTAGGGAACAGAGTAGAATAGTTCTGCTTGCTCAAATAGCTGTGGAAATAGTGGGATATTGCCCTTGTTTGAGGAAGAGCAGGGTTAACTGACATGTCTTTCCTAGGTCCTTGGCCATGGCACGTGTGGTGAACCCCCAAAAGGTGAGTAATGTGAGCTACGCACGCAGCAGCAGCAGGGGAAGTTTGCAGCGTTCTGGAAGTTTATTTGTTCATCATGCATTTAGTGGGCACTCATGGTGTGTGTACCAGGCCCTGGACTTCAGAGACCGAGAGCTAAAACAAGGTCTCAGTCTAGAATCTGTCTGGTTTGCTGTGGTGGTGGCTGTTTTGTTTTGGGGTGTGTTTATTTTTTGTGTTTTTGAGACTGAGTCTCATTATGCAACCCTGGCTCACCTGGAACTTATGTGTTGCTATGCAGACCAGGCTGGCCTCAAACTCACACAGAGATGCACCTGCTTCTGTCTCCTAAGTGCCGCATCACCACGCCACACTGGAAGCCAGTGTCTTTCGTGGTCTGTGTGCCTTGTACTCTGGAACTTCATGCTTCTACCCCCAACTGCTGTATTATGGGTGTTCACAACCTTGGCCAGATATTTCATTAAATTATGTTTTTAAAAAATATTTGTTATTTTTTTAATGTGTGTGTGTGTGTGTGTGTGTGTGTGTGTGTGTGTGTGTGTGTGTGAATGGAGATACTCTGAGGTCAGAGACATTGGATCTCCCTAGAACTGCAAGAAATTGTGGCTTCTTTATGTGGGTCCTGGGATTAGAACTGCGGTCAGGCTCCTGTGATGGTGGGAGGCGGGTGGTAAGGGACAGAAGCCAGATCCTGCGCAACTCCTGATGCCAGGTCCTAAAACTGGCTGTTATTTTTACAGTCAGTAAATCCTGAAAGAGCTTTAAGTGGAAGAATGATAGACCCAGGCTCTTGTCTTGTTTTCTCCCTTTTCTCTAGAAATACGTGGACCTAGACATATATCAAAGCTCATACATGGTCGACTATAAGCCCTTCGGGAAACACAAATACTCCAGAGTCACACCGCAAGAGGTAGGTAGCTGTAGGTCTGCTATACGTTACATGGTTCCCTGAAAAACTCTTTAATTTATTGTCTGTGTGTTTTGCCTGATGTATATGTATGTACTACAAGCATGCAGTGACCAGAGAAGTCAGAAGAAAGTGTTGGATCTTCTGGAACTAGAATTAAGGATGGTGGTGAGCCACCAAGCCAGTGTTGGTGACTGGACCCTGGTCCTCGGCAAGTGCAGCAAATGCTCTTAACCACTGGACCATTTCTCCAGGCCCATGATTTTTATTTTAGTGTGGACATTGTGGCTTTTAAAATAGCTAGTGATAGGAGACTTCACATAGACGTTTTGCACTATTGTGTGCACATGCATGCATGTGATATTTCAAAATGTATAGTACACATAAAATTGTAATTATACATTTATAATTTAAATAACACCAATAAGGGCCAGTGAGATGCTTGCCACCAAACCTGAGTTCAGTTCCTAGGACCCACATGGTAGAGGGAGTGAACTAACTCCTATAACTGTCTTCTGACTTCCACATGTACCTTTCTTTTGTTTTTGTTTTGTTTTGTTTTTGATTTTTGTTTTGTTTTGTGTTTCAAGACTGGGTTTTCTCTCTCTGTGGCCCCGGCTATGCTGGTAGTTACTGGCGCTATAGACCAGGCTGGGCTACACCTCAGGGTTCCACCTGCTTCTCACCTCCCTAGTGCTTGGAATTAAAGGTGTGTGCCACCACTAGCTGGCTCTTTCTTTTGTAATTTTATTTATGTTTGTACGTATGTGAGGGACATGTGTGCCAGGATGCCCACTCATATACACCCCGAACAACTACACAGATGCTTACCCAGCACACACAATAAATAAAGTGCTATAACACACCACACACACACATACACACACTCACATACACACTCACACACACACACACCACACACACACACTCACACACACACCACACACACACACCACACACACACATACACACACACCACACACACACACTCACACACACACACACTACACTCACACACACACACCACACACACCACACACACCACACACACACACACCACACACACCACACACACACACACCACACACACACACACCACACACACACACACACACACACACACACACACACACACACCACACACACACATACACACACACCACACACACACACACACCACACACACATACACACACACCACACACCACACACACATACACACACCACACACACCACACACACACACTCACACACACACAGACACACACACACCACACACCACACACACACCACACACCCACACACCACACACACACATACCACACACACACATACCACACACACACACCACACACACCACACACACACACACCACACACACACACCACACACACACACACTCACACACACCACACACACACACACATACTCACACACACACACACACTCACACACACCAAAACTGGCCGGGCAATGGTGTAGCACGCCTTTAATTCCAGCACTTGGGAGGTGGAGGCAGAGGCAGAGGCAGAGGCAGGCAGATCTCTTGGGAGTCTGAGGCCAACCTGGTCTAAAGAGAGAGTTCTAGTGCAGCCAAAGCTATACAGGGAAACCCTGTCTTAAAAAACCAAATCAGTAAAGTAAAATTAATTTTCATGTGAATGGGTCTTTTGCCTGCATATGTGTGTACCACACGTGTGCCTGGTTCCCACAGAGGCCACAGAGGGGTCAGTCCTCTGGAAGTGGAGCTATAGAGGGTGTGAGCCACCACATGGATGCTGGGAATGGAACCTCTGCCCTTTGCAATAGCAGTCAGAGCTCTCAGTACTCACGTCACCTCTCCAGCCCCGAACTTCATTTTTTTAAAGTAATGTGCATTGTGTCTGGAGTGCTTTGAGGGACACTCCCTTTCTCCGTCTTCCCTTTGTTTCTACAGCAGGCCAAGCTTGACGCTCAGCTCCGGAACAAAGAGTTTTACCGGCCTATGCCCAACCCCAACCCCAAGTTGGAGGATGGGTACCCTGCATTCAAAAGACCCTACATGACTGCAAAAGACTTGGGAGTCCCTGGCTTCTTCCCACCACAGGACCTGGTAACCCCTCCCAAGGAGGAGTGCAGGTTCACCAACACCTGCCGCTTCGCATACCCAGCTTCCCTGGCTCTGTACATGGCCCAGTTTGACCCCTACTGGCTTCATCAGAGCAAAGACTTCCCGTGCCTCATGGAGCCTGAGCTGCAGCCTGCTCCAGAAGTAGCCAAAGGCTACCTTCTACTCCCTGGCTGTCCTTGTCTTTCTCACCAGAGAGTCAAAGTCCCCATCTTGAATAGGTGGGGACCCTTGATGCCATTTTACCAGTAGAAGTGTGAGAATACCTGTTGTTTCAATGCATGAGGAAATCCATGCCATTGCTCAGAGAAGATAGTGAAAATAAACCCAGGAAGATGTTCCTGATGATAAGGGGCGTTGTTTCATCATAATCACGGACCTCTCTGTGCGGGAAGAGGGAGGGGAGGGGAGAAGAAGGGAAAATCAGTATGTGTGTATGCCCAAGTGGAATTAGTGTCATTTTTTTATAGCTTCTTTGGGGGTGTGTGTGTATATAGGATGTATGTGTGTGAGTTTTTGGGGTGTGTATATAGGATGTATGTGTGTGAGTTTCTGGGGTGTGTATGTAGAATGTATGTGTGTGAGTTTTTGGGGTGTGTATATAGAATGTATGTGTGTGAGTTTTTGGGGTGTGTATATAGGATGTATGTGTGTGAGTTTCTGGGGTGTGTATGTAGAATGTATGTGTGTGAGTTTTTGGGGTGTGTATATAGGATGTATGTGTGTGAGTTTTTGGGGGTGTGTATGTAGGATGTATGTGTGTGAGTTTTTGGGGTGTGTATATAGGATGTATGTGAGTTTTTGGGGTGTGTATATAGAATGTATGTGTGTGAGTTTTTGGGGTGTGTATATAGGATGTATGTGTGTGAGTTTCTGGGGTGTGTATGTAGAATGTATGTGTGTGAGTTTTTGGGGTGTGTATGTAGAATGTATGTGTGTGAGTTTTTGGGGTGTGTATGTAGAATGTATGTGTGTGAGTTTTTGGGGTGTGTATATAGGATGTATGTGTGTGAGTTTCTGGGGTGTGTATGTAGAATGTATGTGTGTGAGTTTTTGGGGTGTGTATATAGGATGTATGTGTGTGAGTTTTTGGGGTGTGTATATAGGATGTATGTGAGTTTTTGGGGTGTGTATGTAGAATGTATGTGTGTGAGTTTTTGGGGTGTGTATATAGAATGTATGTGTGTGAGTTTTTGGGGTGTGTATATAGGATGTATGTGTGTGAGTTTCTGGGGTGTGTATGTAGAATGTATGTGTGTGAGTTTTTGGGGTGTGTATATAGGATGTATGTGTGTGAGTTTTTGGGGTGTGTATATAGGATGTATGTGTGTGAGTTTTTGGGGTGTGTATATAGGATGTATGTGAGTTTTTGGGGTGTGTATATAGAATGTATGTGTGTGAGTTTTTTGGGGTGTGTATATAGAATGTATGTGTGTGAGTTTTTTGGGGTGTGTATATAGGATGTATGTGAGTTTTAGGGGTATGTATATAGAATGTATGTGTGAGTTTTTTTGGGGTGTGTACATAGAATGTATGTGTGTGAGTTTTAGGGGTGTGTATATAGGATGTATGTGTGAGTTTTTTTGGGTGTGTATGTAGAATGTATGTGTGTGAGTTTTTTGGGGTGTGTATGTAGAATGTATGTGCATGAGTGTTAACACCTGTAAACTATGGAACACATGTGGAGGTAGGGGACAATCTCGGTGTCAGTCCTCATACTTTAAGATCTGGCCTTTTTTGTTGCTTGCTTTTGCTTACCCTAGGCTAGCTGGTCACAAGCTTCTGGGGCAGTGTCTCCTGTCTCTGCTCCCCATTGGGCTGGAAAGCACTGGGATTAAGGGTGCACTTTGGCTCCTAGCTTCGCATGGGGTCTGGGGATTCAAACTCAGGCTTACACAGCAAGTGCTTCATGCCCTGAGCTATCTCCCCAGCCCACTATACTTTTTGTTTTTGGTGGGAGTGGTTTTGTGTTTTTCATTTGTTTTGGTAGAGGGCGGGGACAGAAGAGTTGTATCACAGCATGTTTGTGGAGAATTGAGGGCAGTTTGTGAAGTCAGTTCTTACCTGCCATCACATGGGTCCTGGGGGTTTGAACTCAGGTTATCGGGTTTAGCAGCAGCAAGTGCCCTCACCTGCTGAGCCATATAATGGGCTCTTGGTGAGAGTTTTCGAAACAGGTTTTTATTTTATAGCCCAACTGGCCTGTACCTTACTATATAGGCCAGGCTGGCCTTGGATCTTTTCTGTGTTTGCTTTTTTGTTGTTTTGTTTTTTGAGACAGGGTTTCTCTGTAGCTTTGGAGCCTGTCCTAGAACTCACTGTGTAAACCAGGCTGGCCTCAAACTCATAGAGATCTACCTGTCATTGCCTCCTGAGTGCTGGGATTAAAGGCTTGCACCACTACCACCTGGGTTGGCCTTGAATTTTATGGATGCTCCAGCTCAACCTCCCAAGCTCTGGGGTTACAGGCAGGAGACACTGGTCCTATTCTATTATAATTACATCTTTCCTTGCAATGAGTAGCGATCCCCTTCTATCCTATGCCATAGTTTAATAATCTCAAAATTTGTGTCAGTGCACTCATGTTGGGGGGGGGAGGGGGTTGTCACACTTTTAACTGAGACTATGGAAGCCAGATCAGGTTGAAAGGAGTCATAAAAGCAGTCCTGCTGCAGAGTCTTACTGATTTAGGCATTTTCTGACAGATATGATTTGAATGTCTTTCCAGAGAGCTTGGGTGTTGGACATTGACTCCTGAGTTCACAGGCTACTGGCATTTGAAAGTGAGGTGCTTGGGAGATAATTAGAATCGGAGGAGGTAATGATGAGGGGTGACCATGATGAGTGACATTTATGGCTTCATTTTTATTTAATTTTATTTGAGCATGTGAATGGATGTTTTGTCTGCTTGTCTGTGCAACCATGTACATACCTGGTGCCCTCAGAGACCACAAGAGAACATCAGATCCTGGAGTTACAGATAGTTGTGAGACCTCACTGTGGATGCTGAGAATCTAACCTGGGTCCTCTTAACCACTGAGCCATCTCTCCAGCCACATTTGTGGCAGAAGAAGAAGGAGATGAAAGGAAGAAAGAAGAAAGGAAGGAAGGAAGGAAGGAAAAATGGTCAGTGTAAATAGAGTTCTTAATTGGTTTAAATAATAAAAACCCAGAGTCAGATATAGAGTGTTGTTCTTTTGTTACAACTGTTGCCTATGAAACACAAACATGAGATTCAACGCCCACGCGGAGTTTATTGATAAAGGGAGAGAAAGGGGGGTAGCTGGTGACCAACCGAAAGCAGGAGAGAGAGAGAGAGAGAGAGAGAGAGAGGAGAGAGAGGAGAGAGGAAAAAGAGCAAGAGAAAAAGAGCAAGAGAGAGGCATGCTTGGCGGGCTTGCTTTAAAAGGGAAACTTGCACATGCGTAACTGAGTCCCCTGGCAGCCAGGTAAAGCTTGAGCAGCCAGGTAAGTCATGCCATAGAGAAGACAAGGCCATGAGCGTGCTGCCCATCATCGGGGGCGGGGTCAGCAGACTGCTGGTTCCCAACGTTGTATGGGGTATGGTTTTTTTGTCTGCCGCTGCTGGTCTTGTCCCGCCGCCGCAGCGGGACAAATACAGAGACTCTGTATTTGATATTATGTTGTTGGCCAGGTGCTAGTTTTTAATCGGCTAGCTCTGTCTTAATTATTAACCCATTTCTATGTATTTTCACGTGGTCTTACCGAGAGGGGAGGAATGGCGGTTCTGTTCTCTTCCGGCTCTACATCCTGACTCTCCTTCCTACTTCCTATTTCCTCCTTGTCTCCTAGTCCCTCCTATCTTCCTTTCCTATTGGTCAACAGTGCTTTAGTCATTAACCAGTATGAGAAACATATATAGAATGACATCTCCCATCACAACGTAGAGTACAATGTTTTTTATATTATTTAAGCCAATTAAGAACTCCATTTACAAGTGAGTCCTGAGCTGGCCCCCTGCCCCATTTTCCCAGTAATGCCATCCGCCATGGTATAACCAGGACCACAGCTTCTCCCAATCCTGTACCACATAGGCTGTCCTCCCTTGTCATTATTTGGACCTGGGAGGGATGCTTGCAAGAAGGCTGCAGAAACAGGGCTGGGGCTTGGAGGTAAGGCCAACAGTCCCTGAGTATGAATATTCCTTGATGTTTACGAAATATAGCCACAGGTCTGTCTACCTTCATGGTCCTTTCCCCCCAGACTTAGGAATTATCATTCCCATTTCATAGAAGGCACAAGGGCCAAGCAGATGGACAGTGATTCACACTGTGGATTCAGACTTCTATTGTTACAAGGCTGCTTGTAAGTGGACATTACCCCCAACCCACACTCTACACTGCTGACCACTTCCCAGAGTGCCTGCCTGGGGAGGGCACCTGAGCGCCTTGAGAACATGGCAACAGGTCCGGATAGGCATTGTAGGGTCTGGAACCAGCTCCTGGGGCTCACTCTTTCCAGTTCAGAGGAGGCTAAGCGACGGGTGCTGTGTGGGATAGGCAAGAGAGCTGGGCCCTGGGTTTCAGGGAGAAGGACACAGCAGTCAGGCTTTCCTGCAGACAAATGTGTTGGTGAGGTGCTGGATGAATAGAAGTGGGTTTGGAGGTCTGTGTTGAAATGTATGAAACCATGCAGGTGGAGCCACATTCCAGAATGTGCCCATTAATCTCCAAATGTGCAATATATATGATACATATCATATGTAATGTGTATATATTGTATATAATGTATACACACTTTTTTCATTATATATATTGTATATAATGTATACACACTTTTTTCATTATATATATATATAGTATATAATGTATACACACTTTTTTCATTATATATATTGTATATAATGTATACACACTTTTTTCATTATGTATACATATTGTATATAATGTATACACACTTTTTTCATTATATATACATATTGTATATAATGTATACACACTTTTTTCATTATATATACATATTGTATATAATGTATACACACTTTTTTCATTATATATACATATTGTATATAATGTATACACACTTTTTCATTTTATATATATATATTGTATATAATGTATTCACACTTTTTTCATTATATATATATATATATTGTATATAATGTATACACACTTTTTTCATTATTTTGGTGGAGGACAAGGGTGGAGGGGTTGTACACACACACACACATGCACACACGCACACACGCACACGCACGCACACACGCACACACTGTATATATGGTGGTTTGAAAGAAAACGATTCCCAAAGAGAGTGGTACTATTAGGAAGTGTGGCCTTATTGGA